ATTCGTTCATTCTGCAACTTTTGAGTTGGATGAACTTCCTGGGTTCATCCTTAAGTTTCTTACCTTTTTTCTTTTACATTCTCTTTTCTCCCTCCCCTATTTATAGAGTAATTTTCTTCAGTTTATTTTTCTATTTCTGTATTAAAATTTTTATTTTGTCAAAAAAAAATTTTATTTTGTCAACTCTTTTTAATCTTAAGAGCTCTTACGTATTCTCTGATTACCTTTTTATATAGTGTCCTGTTTTGGTTTTTGTTTGTTTGTTCTGCAGCTCACTGGTACAGAGATGTGAACCTTTCTGTTCATTTTTTATGGATATGATATACGAAGGTACTTCAAAAAATTCATGGAAACTTTCATATTATAGTTTAATTCTATTTTCCATAAACTTTTTGGAGTACCCATGTATTTACAAATCTAAGGTATAGGTCAGTTTTGTTTACTGTAAGTTCTCTTTAATTTTCTAAATTATTTCTGTTCCCTTCCCCTAAGATGAAGTGTTTTTTTTTTTGGTCTGTTTTTGGTTTAATAATCTTTAATTTACTCTTTCACACTGCAAACTTTGCTTTGTAATCCTTGGTATCTGTATTAATCTGTTTCTGTTGCTTGTAACAAAATACCTGGAACTGGATAACTTGTAAGAAACAATATTTATTGCTTACAGTTTCAGAGGCTGGGAAGTCAAAAGTCCATGGAACACATTTCAAGAGCCTTGTTGGTTGGTAGTGACTCTTCACAGCAAAGCAGGGTGTCACATGGTAGATGGCAGAAGCAGAGAGGGATAGAACTCCTCATATGCTCTGCTTTTAAAGCCATTAGAACCATGCCCATTAAACCATGAACTTACTAATCCATTTACTCGGGCATTGTCCTCATGATCTCATCACCTCTCCAAGGCCTCACCTTTCAATTACCATAATAGGATTTCTATCCCTCTTAATACTGTCTCAGTAGGGGTTAAGTTTCTAATACATGGACTTTGGAGGACACAATTTAATCCACATTAGTATCCCAATAATATTTGATGTCAGAGAAGATGTCTGTATGCTGAGTGCACCCAAGCTGAGTTTGTTGATTGGTGAACAATGATTTAAGATAATCAGGTAGGAGCAGGTCATTTTGTGGGGTACTCCAAACTGTCAGTATGTAACAGTTTTTTTCTGGAGACATTCCACTTTTTTAGAAGAGAAATCCTGATGTTCTTCCTGGAGAGTACACATCTGGCTGAAGACATTCCCATGTTGTGCAGGCTTTGGGGTCTTGACTACTCTCTACACAGACTTTTAACCAATCACCCTAGTTGCTCCTTTGTGCTTCATTCTCTGCTGTACACAGCACCTCTAAACACTAAGTTTCTCCAGGGTTCTGTCTTACCCCAGCTTGATAAATCAGATGTTATTTCTTCCGTCCTCATTCCTTCTTCTAAAGATGTGTTAATATCTCTTGTCTGACTGACATCTCTTCTCCACCTCTCCTGGTGCTTGTAGTTTTATGCCTAGTTTATTCCTTTATTCTCATTTTTGTGGAATCTTCAAAGGAGGCAGTGACAAAATACATATGGCTGATCCTCATAAGCCCACCACTCATCTATTTGTCAGAGTGCAGTTGCAAGTTAATCCTTTGTCTTCATTTTAAAATTTTTTCATGCTCACCCATTCTAGCTATATAAGCAAAATATAGCTTATATAAGCTATATAAGCTTAATATAGCTATAATATAATATAGCTTAATATAGCATAATATAGCTATATAAGCATAATATAGCTTATTGCATAAAGCAAATAAGGTTTAATGTGTTGCTCTAAAGGAGGAAAAAAGAAACTAAGTTATGATTAAATTCGAATATTTTTATTCCCAATGCACTTCAATTATTTTTTCTGTGTGTCTCATTGTTAGTTCCTCCGTATTGTAGCAGTGTAGACAAAATATAGCACACTCACATTAGAGACCCATTTTATGCATTCCTTAATTTCTATTCAAACCTCATAATCTGCTTCTTATAAATACATGGGTAGAACATGGAGAGAGGCTAAGTCAAAAGACTGACATCACCATCTTCACAAAAGAGTTTCTAAAGGGACCTTAATATGTCAGAGGAAGGACATCTTTGCTCCCTTCTCCTCTCTGTATCCAACCAGAAAAAATAAGGCAAATGAGAGATAGAAACCAAAACTCTATCTGATGAAACTTTAGAGCTTTTATAACTCTGATCTCAAAAAGGAAGGGCTCCCAAATGCAGTAAGAACCAGACCAGAGTAAAGAAGGCTGAAGATGACTGCTTCTCTGGATTTCAGGCCATGAATAAAGTCTCAAAAAGTAAGTGACATGACCTGAGAGAGGAAAAGCAATCTTTATTTTGAAATGAAATCAGTTTTCATGCTGGTAGTGAGAACATCCTGGAACTGTGTTTAACCTCCACATATTGGCAGAGGAGGTTAGAGACTGGAAAATTAACGAATATAACACTACCCGCATGCACATCCCCGCCCCCCAACCCCTGTACCATACATAGAGGACTTTTCTGTGAGCAAGGGAAACTTCTTGCTAGTTAGAATCAGAATCAAAACCACAGTGAGATGTATTCATAAGAGTTCATAAGAGTTTAATATAAACAACAAATGATACTCAGACTATTCACTCTCCTATTCACTTTTAAGTACTCACTATGATCCTGCTTACTCTCAGTAACTTACTACAGTAATGCTTCCACACATACAGGGCTAGTAAAGAACTCCTCCAATGCAACTTGAAGTAATAATTGAAGACACACTGTCATGGCACCATTGTAAAATATGTTGCAAAAGGGAGAAAAATGACCAGTAAAGGATTGTTGAAGAATACACACACATGAAACCCCATGGAACACATGAAAAATAAGTCAGCAGAGATCATATTATAAATATAAGGAAAAATAATACTACCACAGAAATGGAGGTGAATAGGCAGTGTTAAAAAATGATCAGGGACATGGCTTGAAGAAATAGAGCAAAAATGAAATGAAAAATAATAAAGTTAAAAAATATTAGATAAACTATGACGGAATAACTACAGGAATTACAGTTGCATAAAAAAGATGTAAATGTTATAAGACTTGACAATGCAGAAAAAATAGTATCACAAACAAAAGTTGGGATGTGACAGGGACTGGTAAAGAGAATTACAGTTGCATAAAAAGATGTAAATGTTATAAGACTTGACAATGCAGAAAAAATAGTATCACAAACAAAAGTTGGGATGTGACAGGGACTGGTAAAGAGAATTACAGTTGCATAAAAAGATGTAAATGTTATAAGACTTGACAATGCAGAAAAAATAGTATCACAAACAAAAGTTGGGATGTGACAGGGACTGGTAAAGAGAATTACAGTTGCATAAAAAGATGTAAATGTTATAAGACTTGACAATGCAGAAAAAATAGTATCACAAACAAAAGTTGGGATGTGACAGGGACTGGTAAAGAGAATTACAGTTGCATAAAAAGATGTAAATGTTATAAGACTTGACAATGCAGAAAAAATAGTATCACAAACAAAAGTTGGGATGTGACAGGGACTGGTAGAGAGAGAAGTTGAGAGGTAGGCTAAGTATACCAATTTCCTTCTATCTTGTAGTAGGTGGATGGCTGGACAACAGACCCTGTTCATAGTTGCTAAGTCAAATTATTGAGGGGTAAATATATTTAAGGGTACAAAGGTAACAACTAGACTAAGTATAATAATAAAACCAACCAAAAAATCATATGGTAGAATAGATGGAGGAAGTAGAAATGCACTTATTTCTTCATAATTTATAGCAAAAAGTTAATAAATTCTGTCTAAATAAGTAGTTAAAATCTGTTCTAAAAGTCTGCCAACTCACCAGTCTGTACTCTGTAGAGTACACCTTTTTCGCCAAAGTAGTTAAAATCTGTTCTAAAAGTCTGCCAACTCACCAGTCTGTACTCTGTAGAATACATCTTTTTCGCCAGTTTGAAAAGTTATCATTACCATTTCTCTTGTGCATGCTTCTTTGAAGAGTACTGGAATGGTTCTGGGATCACATATGCCAGTTGTATTTAGCATCTTTAGATAATCTTCATCTAGGTCTAGAGACCTGAACTCGTTTGAAACAGCCAGGGACAGCCACCTCGATTTCACCGTATTTCTGTTTTGCAAATACTAATCTAGTTGGTTTCTTTTGTCACCATATTTATGTTTTGCAAGTACTAATCTAGTTGGTTTCTTAATTTGTTTTGTTTTGTTTTCTTCTTCCTTTCCATTGATCCACCAATTCAGCCAACATTTATTCAGCTTCTACTATGAGTCAGATGCTATGCAAGGATGCTGGCTAGTTAGAAATATGATGCAGATAAGCCCCTGCCCTCAAGATTTTTACAGTCTAGTGAGGAGACAGACAAATAATTCTAATACAAATAAATTATTTTAATATCAGAAGCACCCTCCCTCAAAAAGCTAAGTTTGTCTGCATGATTCCAGAAAGGCTGTATGAAGAAAGTAGCATTTCAGTTGGATCTTGAAGTATGAGTAGGTGTTCACAAGGCAGGGAAAAAAAACAAAACAAAACAGGATTCCAGGTACAGAATACAAAATAAGTAAAGACACAGAAGAAATAATAATCACTTTGGTTTGACGGTAATATGAGTGTAATGGAAAGTGAAGGGCACAGGCAGCCCTAAAGATTGTTCTCTGTGTTGAAGATAGAGCCTAGGTCTCTGGGTGACTTTGTAAGTACCAATGGGTTCCCCTTGAGTCTCAGAGCATCAAAGTTGGATTTGATCCCTCACCAGAAGACATCAACCCTCCATGATACCTTCCCTCTTTTCCTTCCCCCAGCCAATACTCTAGATTGCCAAGAAGCACTCCAGTTGAGAATTGGATTGATGACCCCAGTGAATAGCCCACAGCCCTGTCCAGTTCATGCAGGCTATAGGCTGCCCACTCCTGGTTCCAATACAGTTCTCGCAGGGAGTGCTTCCCAGCCCCTCTTTTGCTATATCTCACCTTCGTCTCCAGAGCTTCTGGCACCTTCTTGCCTTCCCAAGCCCAACTCCGCTTGGTGAAGTAGTTGACAGTGGCAAATTCAATCAGTGCAGAAAATACAAAGGCATAACAGACGGCTATGAACCAGTCCATGGCCGTCGCATATGCCACTTTAGGTAAGGAGTTTCTGGCACTGATACTCAAGGTGGTCTTGGTGAGAACAGTGGTGACACCTGGGTAAAGAAAAGATGAGAACCAGTTGCAACTGGAAGACATTGAGAGAGTATTTGATGAGATCAACTTACTACTTGAAAGGAGGAACTTTACCCCACTCAAAATGGCTCCTGTAAAAAAAAAAATCACAGAAATTAAAAAAACCTAAAATTCATACAGAACCACAAAAGACCCCAAACAGCTAAAGCAATCCTGAGCAAAAAGAACAAAGCAGGAGGCATCACACTACTTGACTTCAAAATATATTACAAAGCTATAGTAACCAAAAAAGCATGGTACTGGCATAAAAACACACACAGACCAGTGGAACAGAATAGAGAACCTAGAATTTAATCCACATATCTACAGCCAACTGATTTTTGACAAAGGCATCAAGAGCAATACATTGGGGAAAGGACAGTCTCTTCAATAAATGGTGCTGAAAAAACTGGATATCCACATGCAGAAGAATGAAACTAAACCCCTTTCTCTCACCATATACAAAAATCAACTCAAAATGGATTAAAGACCTAAATGTAAGACCTGAAACTATAAAACTACTAGAAGAAAACTTAGGGAAAGCACTCCAAAACATTGGTCTGGGCAAAAATTTTACAGAGAAGACTTCTAACGCACAGGCAACAAAAGCAAAAATAGACATGGGATTACATCATACTAAAAAGCATGTGCACAGCAAAGGACACAATCAACAAAAAGAGGAGACAACCTACAAAATGGGAGAAAGTATTTGCAAACTATGCATCTGACAAGGGGCTAATATCCAGAATATACGAGGAACACAAACAATAGCAAAGAAAAACAAAAAACAAACTGGTAATTTGATTTTAAAAATTGGCAAATGCCTTAAATAGGCATTTCTCAAAAGAAGACATATGAATGGCCAACAGATATCTGAAAAAATGCTCAGCATCAGTAATCATGGGGGAAATGCATATTAAAACCACATGAGATACCATCTTACTCCAGTTAGAATGACTATTATCAAAAAGACAAAAAAACAACAAATGCTGGCAAGGATGCAGAGAAAAGGGAACTCATACACTCTGTTGGTGGGGACATAAATCAGTACAACCATTATGGTAAACAGTATGAAGTTTTCTCAAAAAAACTAAAAATATAACTACCATATGATTTGGTAATCCCACTCACTAGGTATTTATCCAAAGGAAAGGAAATCAGTATTCCAAAGAGGTACCTGCACTCCCATGTTTCCTGAAGCACCATTCACAATAGCCAAGATATAAAATCAACCTGTGTCCATCAACAGATGAAAGGATAAAGAAAATGTGGTATATGTACAGAATGGAATACTACTCAGCCATAAAAACAATGAGATTCTGTCACTTGTGGCAACATGGATGAGCCTGAAAATACATTATTTTAAGTGAAATAAGTCCAGCACAGAAAGATAAATACTGCATGTTCTCACTCATATGTGGCCACTAGAAAATGTGAGCTCATAGAAGTAGAAAATAGAATTAAGTTTACTAGAAGCTGCAAAAGGTAGGGGGCAGAGGGTATAACGAGCGGTTGGTTAATGGATATAAACTTACATCTAGGTAGGAAGAATAAATTATAATATCCAATAGTAGTGCTAGGTGTCTATAATTAACAATAACTTATTGTATATTTTCAAATGGTTAGAAAAGAGGAGTTCAAATGTTCTCATCATAAAAAAATGGTAAATGTTTGTGGTGATAGATATGCTAATTATCCTGATTTGATCATCACACAGTGCATACACGCATCAAAATATTACTCTGTACCCCATAAATACGTACAATTATTATGTGTCAGTTAAAAAATTTTTAAAATAAAGTTAAAAACAGAATATGTCAAAGCTGGATGGGTCCACCTAGTAACCGCCCCATCCCAATTGGTATAGGAAGAGGAATCTGTAGTACATACTTCTAACAGTTGTCCTCTAACCTCTGCTTAAACATTCTACTGAACAGTAAGTAGCTCATTTCATTGTGAGAGAGCTTTTAAATGAGGAGCACCTGCCTTATAAGCCAAAACCTGCCTTTTTCTAACTACCAGCCCAGACTGACCTCAGAGTTCCTTTCGTGGCCACACAGGAAGAAAACAATCTGCTCCTTCCTCTCCAGGACAGGCTTTCAGAGACTTGAAAAGGTGGCTATGGTTCCTCGTGAATCTCCTCATCTCCAGAATGAGCATGGAGATTTATTGTCTCCTCATGAACTCCTTCTTTTATTCAGCTTCATCATCCCCCATCCTAGTAGTTTTCTTTTTCTGAACAGCCCAGAACTGAGCCCCAGATTCAGGACGTGGTCTGAGTTCAGTAGGGTTTTCACCTACTTGCTTTGTATCTTGGGCACTTTCCTTAGTCTTCCATTTTCCCCATTTGTGAATATTCCCTACGGTCTCTATCCGATTTTGATAACGTAGTTGCTGTACCCAAAGTCATTCAGACTTGAAGAAAGGGAAAACATCACGAACTCTTTCTAAGTGTTGGCATGCTTCTAAGTGTTGGCATGCTGAAAAGGATGGGGAATGGGATGCTTTTCTACGTAGCATCTCTCATCCCATTAGGACTTCATTCCGTGCCCTCCTTGACCCAAGCTCATGAGATTCACACGATGTTCCCTCCATCTAAGCACCAGCACACTACTGTGAGTGTGCCAGAGAGGACGACTGCACTTGCTGATAAGATAGGAGTGGAAGCTCCAAAGGCTACAGCACATATGGCTGACTCCCTGGGTATAACTAATTTGGGGGCTTCCTCTCCTATGTTGCTCCCTTGAGTATCTTACTTATACATTTGCTATATGAATATAAATACAAACTGGAAAAGATGGGAAATCCAGTACAATTTCAACAGAGAGACCCTAAAGGGGCACCTTTGCACAAACTAGGCAGCAACATTAAACCTAATCCCTCCTTGGTCTCAGTTAACCACTGATCTGCTTGCTTTACTATGGATTAGATATTTTTCCCTTAGAGTTTCACGTAAATATCATATCGTATGTATTTAATTCTGTCTGGATTCCTTCACTCAGCATAATATTTGTAGGCTCACTCACGTCATTGCATCTATCTTTAATTCGTTCCTGTTAATTTTAGAGTAGTATTCCATTGTAATGATATGACATAATTTGTTTAGCATAATTTGTTTAACATAGTTTGTTTATAATATAATTTCTTTAACAATAGGTGAATACATATTAATGAACATCTGGATTGTTTCCGATGTTTGACAATTATAAATAAATATGCTGTGACAATTTACATACAAGTCTTTGTATGAGCATATGCTTTCATTTCTCTCGGTAAATACCTAGAGATGTAACTGCAAGATTATATGGTAAGCATATGTTTAACTTTATATGATACTGTCAACTGTTTTCTAAGGTGGTTGATCATACCATTTAACATTCCCAGCAGATATATGAGTTTCAGTCAGCATGCATCCTTGACTTATGAAAATTTAATATTAATTGGTACTTTTACAATTCTACCTGATAACAAAAGTCCCAAGAACATTATATCTCCATGTATTCCTATTTCAATTTATATAGATTATATTATGGTCTAGTATTTTATTCTGAATTTATTATTTACCCAATAAGCCACTGTTATTACTTACATCAAATACTCATTTATCATTATTCATATATTTATTATTTTTATTCTTCTTTTTTAATACATCTTCTTTTTAATACACCTTCAAGTTTGTACATTTTAAAGTGTTTGGGCAACTGTATTTTTAAAGTGTTTGGGCAAATGTACACAATTGTGTAACTACTATCCCAATCAAGATGTAACATTTCCACCACCCCAGCAAGTTCTCTCATGCCCATTTTTAGTCAATCCACCACCCTAGAAGAAGCCATTGTTTTGATCTCTAACAATATAGCTTAGCTTTGCCTGTTTTAGAATTTTAAATAAATAAAGTCATATATTCTGTACTACTGTGTGCCTGGATTCTTTAGCTTGATATAATTTTTGAGATTCATCCATACTGTTATGTGAATTGATAGCTGTTAATATGTTTTATGAATATATCACAGTACATTCATGCATTCACTTCTCCATGTAGGTACATTTGGATGTTTTCCACTTTGGGGCTTTTATGAATAAAGATGTTATGAACATTCTTGTCGCACTCTACCGAGTGTGCCACCGTGCCAGCCCTGAATATTCTTGAATAAGTCTTGTTTAAACTTATATTTTCATTTCACTTGGATATATATCGAGGAGTGGAATACCTAGATTATAGGGTAAATGTCTTTTTAACTTTGTAAGAAGCAGTCAAACTCTTTTTTAAAAGAGGTTGCATCATTTTACATCCCTCTCAGCAGTGTTTGAGAGTTACAATTGCTCCTCAAGCTCACCAGTACCTAATAATGTCAGCCTTTTTAATTTTAGCCATTCTAGTGTTTGAAGTGATGTTTCCGTGAGGTTTCGGTTTATGCTTCCCTGATAAAAAAATGATGTGCAGGATGATCGAGGAGTGGAATACCTAGATTATAGGGTAAATGTCTTTTTAACTTTGTAAGAAGCAGTCAAACTCTTTCAAAAGAGGTTGCATCATTTACATCCCTTTCAGCAGTGTTTGAGAGTTACAACTGCTCCTTAAGCTCACCAGTACCTGATAATGTCAGTCTTTTTCATTTTAGCCATTCTAGTGTTTAAAGTGATGTTTCTGTGAGGTTTCGGTTTATGCTTCCCTGATAAAAAATGATGTGAAGGATCTTTTCAAGTGCTTATGTGCATTTGTGTATATTATTTGGTGAAATATCTGTTCACGTCTTTTGCCCATTTTTAAAATTGGATTCGTTGTCTTTTTATTAGTGAATTGTAGGAACACTTCATATTTTTGGAATACAAATCCTTTAGCAAATCTGTAACATTAAATTCTTTATCCCAGTCTACGGCTTGTCATTTCATTTTCTTAATGTCAGCCTTTGAATAGCAGAACTATTTGATTTTGATGAGGTCCAATTTATTAGTTTGTTTTCTTTACTGTTATTACTTTTTTGTGCACTAAGGAATTTTTGCTCTACCAAAGGTTGCAAAAATATTTTCTTCTAAGAATATCATACTTTTAACTTTTATATAAGTTAATGACCAATCTCAAATTAATACCTTGCAGTGCCTTCTTTGTCATACATCAAGTTTACATATATGCGGGTCTACTTTTAGGCTCTCTATTTTCCTTATGCCCATAACACACTGTCTTAAATGCTGTAGCTTTTCAATCATATTTGACATCTTGTGGAGCGAGTCTTACCATTTTGTTCTTCTTTAGGAGTATATTGGCTATTCTTGGCTCTTAGTATTTACATAAAAATTCTGCAATCTTTTTTTCCCCTTTTTTGTCTTTTTTACTGATCGGTAACGGGATCGCAACCCACAGTGTCGCGCCCATACCGGGGACCGGCAACGGCATCTCAACCCTTGGTGTTGCGCCCGCACCACGCTCAGCCAGTGAGCGGGAACCAGTCTCCACATGGGATCCAAACCCTCAGTGGGAGCACCGCTGCGCTCCCAAGTGGTGCACTCTCCAGTGCGCCACCGGGCCGGCCCTGCAATTGCTTTTTAAATTAACATTTTAATTTGGAAGCTTTCACATTAATGCAGTTAATATAAATGTGAATTCTAAATTAATGTGAAGCCAAGTTTGAATTAAAAAAGAAATTCTCGGCTCATTAGCTCGGTTGGTTAGAATGTGGCCTTATAACACCAGGATCACATGTTCAGATCCCTGTACCAGCCAGCCACCAAAAAAAAGAAATAAAAAAGAATTCTCAAATCTTGTATTTCGCACAGAGCCCAGACCAAAATAAACATGCTGTCTCCCTGCACTGATAAGTGTGTTTTTCTTGTGTTCTCTTGTGTTGAGGGCATAACTCTTCAATGGTATTGGATTTATGGGAAGTGTGCCTGCATTAATTTCCTACGGCTTATGTAACAAATCTAGTGGTTTAAAACAACAAAGTGTATTCTTATGGTTCTGGACACCAGAAGTCTGAAATCAGTTTCACTGGGCTAAGGTCAAGTAGTCAGCAGGGCTTCCTTTCTGGAGACTCTAGAGAAATAATACAATGCTTTTCCTAGTTTCTAGAGCTGGATCTTGGATTCCTTGCCTGCCTCATGGGCCCCTCCTTCCTCTTCAAAGCCAACAGCAAAGCATCTTCAAGTCTCATCTGTTTCTATCATCATACTGCTTTCTTGTCTGTAGTAAAATCTCTCTCTGCTTTACTCTTATAAAGATACTTGTAATGGCACTTGGGGCCTATCCAGATAATACAGGATAATCTCCCCATCTCAAGATCGTTAACTTAACCACATATGCAAAGTTATTTTTGTCATATGAGGTCACGTTCTGAGGTTCCAGGCTCTAGGACATGGATATCTGTGGGGGCGATTATTAGCCTTCCACAATCTTAGTTCTAACCCTTAACTTCACTCAGGCTCTCAATGCCTTCCTTGTGTAACTTTAAAATTTTAAACTTTTTGCTAGTCTATCTGCCCATCTTCCTGCTACAACAGTATCAGTTTATGTGATTAACACTCCGGTTTTCAGTTTCTTCTTCCATTTTGGCCCCTGAGTATCTCCTTTAATTTCTTATGAGCTCAGATACTAAAATAATGTCGTTGTGGTTTTTATTTTATGTTTTATCTAGCTTTTCTAGGAATTTGTAGAGGGAGGTTTATCAGGGTATCTAATTCATTATGTTTCTAAAAATGGGCATTTTAACCCACTCCCATATAGCTTCTTCTCTCTTCACTTCACTAGAACTATTGTTTTCAAGATCATTAACAACCAAGTATATCACCATATCCCACAGTTTCTGTCTGCATCTTACTTAAACTCACAGTGGAATTCACCCCAGATGATTATTTCCTGCTTCTTGAAATACTTTCCTTCCTCTCTTGACTTCCATGATATCACACATTTATGACTATTTATTTTTCCTACTTTACAAGTCACTTTTTCATTTTCTCCACTGTTGCCTCCTCTTATGCCTGATCTAAAATGCTGATTCTTTCCAAAACATCATTTACTATTTGTTTAACTACAAAGTACAGTTTCAGGATATTAGTAGGAATGCCTTCTGTGTGGGTACCCAGTACACCCAAGTATATGTTTCCATTGCCATGGAGTCAGTTTAGTAGCTTAAAGGAATTAATTAATATTTATGTCCTAGAAAATCTTACAGTGGAAAACAGGCAGAAAATGTTTTATATGCTTTAAGTCTCTGAGGGAAAAGTGCTAATGATATGCATACCTCTTTCTACCTCTTTCTAGACATCAGCAAACTCATATTGAAAGAACTTCCTCCGGTTGTAGGTACTATTGAAAAATCCTTCAAACTGTGCAGCCTTTACTAAATATCAAAAAATCCATAATATTTTCAAAAGGGCTAGAGGAGCAGCAGCAAAGTCAGCTGCTCATAGAAAAACAACGGGTCTTTAAAAAGCCCTAAATCCACTTCTCTGCTGTCAGGTTGGTTTCTTACTCTTTACCTTCTCCAGTCTGTGCACTAAATTCTTCTCTTTGTGTTTGAGAACATTTGAACTCCTCTCTTCTAGCCATCTGAGAAAATATACAATAAATTATTGTTAATTGTAGACACCTAGTACTACTAGACACCTAAGTACTACTAGAACTTATTCCTCCCGTCTAGCTGTAAGTTGGTGTCTATTATCCAAGCTCTCCCTATATCCTTTCCCCTCCCTTCTCATCCTCTAGTAACCACTCTTCTACTCTGTACTTCCACGAGCTCAACTTTTTTAGCTTTTACATATGAGTGAGAACATGTGGTATTTCTCCTTCTGTGCGTGGCTTATTTCACTTAACATAATTTTCTCCAAGCTCATCCATGTTATACAAACGCCAGGATTTCATCCTTCTTCATGGCTGAATAGTATTCCATTGTGTAGATATACCACACTTTCTTTATCCATTCATTTGTCGATGGACACCTAGGTTGGTTCCATATCTTGGTTACAGTGAATAGTGCTGTAATGAACATGGGAGTGCAGATATCTCTTTGGTATACAAATTTCCTTTCATTTGAATAAATACTCAGCAGTGGGATTGCTGGATCATATGGTAATTCTATTTGCAGTTTTTTGAGGAACCTCCATACTGTTTTCCATAATTGCTATACTAATTTACATTCCCACTAACAGTGTGTAAGAGTTCTCTTTTCTCTGCATCCTCATCAGCATCTGTTTTTTGTTTTTTTGACAACAGCCATTCTAACTGGAGTTGAGATGAAATCTCACTGTGGTTTTGACTTGCATTTCCCTGATTGTCCCCCCTCCCCCAAGTTCCTGTTGAATTCTTTCACCACAGAACAGTGATTGAAACAGAACATTTTCAGAACAGACATAAAGACAGTTTACATCAGATAAAAAGAAAGCTCACTTATGGCAAAAATCATTCTTGAAATAAGAGGTCAATAGAACAGCTATGATTTTGCAGAAGGTATCAAAATTATCAACCCATTCTTAACAGTCAGTAGCAAGAGTCTATAGTTAAATATCAGTTTTTAGCAAGAGCACAATATAAAATAAAGAACTTATTTTACAAATAGAAAAGAATTGTTTTTATTTTTTAAACACTTTACACTAACTCATTTATTTTTTATTCTATTTTATTTTTGCTTGACAAACAATTGTGTATGCTGTGGTTACAGTGTGATGTGATAAGTACACATTGTGGAATGACTAAATCAAAGTTCTTTTTAAATAAGGAAATGTTATTCTAATCCAGGGTATCAGAAAACATAGCCAGCATGGGACACCGATGACACCCAACAACGTCAGGAATTAAAGAGAAATCAAAAATAAATATATATGTATAACAAAATAAATTCTCTTTTTCACTGAAGGCTCAGTCCCTCTCGAGCTTCTGGGGCAAACGTCAGGGAGACAGAAGGACTTTCAGTAACCTGACTAGTTCTGCACTCTTCCTATTCTCACTTCCCTGTTAAGAATCCACCTGCGTGACACTCCAGCATTTGCTGACTCGCTCACTACTGCTGGACTCAGGTGTTGTTCCCATTATCTGCGGAAATGGCTCTTCCACCTTTCTCACCTCTGCTTTGCCCGCCCATGGTAAGACTTCGCACATGTCCCTCCCCCATTCTCAATAAAGCAACACTCACCAAAAACCGTGCGGGCAGGGACAGACTCTCTGTTGAGCCAGAAAGACACTTGTGACAGAATGACAGTCATGATACATGGCAAGTAGGTCTGGATCACAAAGTAGCCAATTTTCCGTTTGAGATGGAAGTGGGTTGTCATGACGACATATTCTCCTGGAGAGAAGTGAAATTAGGCGGTATGAAGCTACATAAACACTGCTAAATCATGCAGTTCACAGAGCTCCTTCATCTTACATTCAACGTAAGACATCCCAGCACTTTCCAAGTCCATGTAACCAGAACTGTTCAATAATTATGAAATGGTGTGGTTTTGTTTGTGAAAAATATGCTAACAGTGTTTCAATACAGCTTGCTCAAAGCAATTTTGACACAAGTTAATTCAAATAAATGAATATTCTCATTTAAATAAGAAATAGCAATCTCTCCTCCAGCACTTGCTATGTGATAGGCACTCATCTAGCACTTCAGCATTGTTAAAATATTGAATCCTTACAACAACCCCATGAGGTAGGTACTATTGTTAGTCTCATTTTATAGGTCAAAAAACTGAGGCACAGAGAGATTAGGCAACTTGCACAAGGTTACCCAGCGAGTAAGCAGTGGGGCCCAGATTTGAGCCCAGACAGGTTGGCTCCACAGTTCATGCTTTTTAAGCACTATGCCCTGCTGTTCTAATAGACTTATTTGGTTAGATCCAAAAGCTCACACAGCAAAATGTAGGCTGATTTACATTACCACACTCCCAAAA